AAGAATCAATTGTTTGGGAGCATTTTTTTAAAGAAACAATAGGAGATGGCCACTTCTCTGCCAAATGTCATTATTGCACAGAAGCTTGGTCTATAGGGAAACCTGAACTTTTGAAAGGGCATCTAGCTTTACATGGTTCTGCAGTGCCAACTAATGTGAAACTTGAATACATGCAAATACTGATAGAACAATCTTCAAGTTCTAATAAAATACAGAAGATAAATTCATCTAATCCATCCATTACCAACTATTTTGATTCTTCTGCAGAAGTTGATGCAAGTAAGAGAGAGAGAATAAATCAAGCATTAGGTAAAAACAGTTATATGGGGAGTCTCAAGCGAAAATGAGTCAAATTTTTTTTGTCATTCTTGAGATAATGATGCAGTTATATGTAATTTAAGGTGTTGAATCTTTTCGGCTTAGAAACAAACCCATATTTTCTTAATAAGATTTTGCAATATCTTCATTTCTTTAAAAAAAGTCATTTCCGTAAGGACCCAAAAATTCGGAATGATCTTCAGAAAATTATCCAAATTTGATTTAAAGTTTCTAAATAATTTTTTAATAACAATCAATATGTGTACCAACAATAACCCTTTATACAGTATATAAATAATATTTTCAATGAGACCCACCCAGAATTAAGAGATTTATATGAAAATTTGCAAGAACTCCAAATAATTTTATGGGAGCTTCTTATGAAGATATTGAAACAGAAAATAATTATTGAGACTGAAGTAGAAGATTTTCATGATGACTTTGATGATGAAATAAATAATGAAGTTTTTTCAAATGTAGAAATTGAGAAATTTAAAAAAATTTACAATAATGAACCAATTGAAGAATCAGAAATTAATGAATTAAAAGCTGAAAATGAAAAATTAAAAGAAAAAAAAGAGCAAGCAAAAAATTATATTATAAATATATTTAAGAAAAGTTGTTGTAATAAAAATTGTTTAGAAGAAATTGATCAAGAAGTTGCTATTTTATGGTTTCAAAACTATATTAATTTAACTAAAGATCAACAGAATATGTTTCTTTTAAGAATTATTTCAACATCAACTAGTGAATATTTGACAATGGCATATGTATTTGATGGTGTAGCAATATGCAGTAGTGCTTTTTTTAAATTATATGATTTATCAAAAAATAGATTAATTGGTTTAAAAAATCATTATAAAGATAATGATATTGTACCAAAAGTGCATTTAAGCAAAGGAAAAAAGGTTTCTCATA